TAACCTAACCAAACCTAACCTAACCTAACCAAACCAAGTCACTGAGGGTCTGGATATGACCTGGGCTGTGGTTGACAGATGTCGTAACTTCACATTCTCGCCTCGCTCAACATCTCGTGGTGACATTCTCAAAAATTCCTAAGTTAAATATTTTCCCTGGAGAGTAAATTAAGTGTGTCGAGTTTAAATGAAGTTTCAGTGAAGTCATTTATATCATTAAATCGTAAGTCAGTTTGATGTGTTTTAATAACTCTTACTTGAGAGGTAACTTAAATATACTCGAGTTTAAGAATACCTCTTTGGGTAATAGCTTAAGTTAAAGAGGAAAACTTAATATAGGAATCGTTGGAAGACCTTTTTTTTTGTTCTTATGTTTAGTGATTAGGTTAGTTACTCTTCCAAGTCATCAGTTAAGAGGAAAAAGTTAATAGTCTAAATGATTAGGTTTAAAGAGGCTCTTACATTCATGAGCTCAGACGCGGGAACACCAAGGGGCTTGAGACGATGTGGAGACGATAGCTAGAAGATACGACAGGTGTAATGACGTGTACTTTCCAGTTTAGTTTGTTAACTTTGTTACCTATTGTGACGCCGAGGAGCATGGTTGAGTGTGTTGGATGCAGTGTGATGGGTGGAGTTGCGACGTGATCGGAGGAGAATACTTTGCATAACTACGGTCTTTGTAGGGTGACATGGTTGTTGGTGGAGCAATCTTAAGAGGCTAGTTAGTATATTCTGGAGGGCGCTGTAGTCGGGAGCTGTGTGTTTGTAGAGAGAGAGAGAGATTTTGTGTGTGTGTGTGTGTGTGTGTGTGCGTATTCCCCCCCCTTCACTGAGCACATTAACATCAAGAGCCCCCTTCCTCCCCCTTCTCCCCAGCACAGGATGAGGACTCCCGTCTCTTTAAGGCTACTGACCTTAACGCAAAGACTTAAAACCGGTCGACGGCGATGATGATGATGATGACAACGACGACGCCGCCGCCCTGCTGACAATACCTCTTTTGTCTCCTCGGAAAATAGACAGAGCTAAAAATAGTGTTGCTTCATAGACGGTGAGGGGCAGCATGACGCCACGAGGGAGAACTGATGGGATGTATCTAGGAAGAGTTGGGGTGTTGGTGTACTGTGGGGGTGTGTTGGTGTACTGTGGGGGTGTGTTGGTGTACTGTGGGGGTGTGTTGGTGTACTGTGGGGGGTGTGTTGGTGTACTGTGGGGGTGTCTTGGTGTACTGTGTGGGTGTGTTGGTGTACTGTGGGGGGGTGTGTTGGTGTACTGTGGGGGTGTGTTGGTGTACTGTGGGGGTGTGTTGTGGTGTACTGTGGGGGTGTGTTGGTGTACTGTGGGGGTGTGTTGGTGTACTGTGGGGGTGTGTTGGTGTACTGTGGGGGTGTGTTGGTGTACTGTGGGGGTGTGTTGGTGTACTGTGGGGGTGTGTTGGTGTACTGTGGGTGGGATGGTTAGTCTAAAAATATCTCATTAAGTGGCTTAGGTAAAGACGATCTCAGAAAGTCATTTACGTCACAATGGCACCGGCTGAGTTGTGAAGTCGGACACGGACAACAAGAATGTTTATTACGGTATGGTACGGTAGGCAGATAAGGGAGATGGTTAATAAAGGTAAAATAGTGATGTAGTGTGTGAAAAGGAAGAGGAGTGAGATAAAGGATGGGGAAGAGGAAGTGAGGAGGAGGGAATCAAGGTGAGATAAGGAAGTAGTCTGAGTATAAGGAGGAGGAGGGAGACAAAGAATGAGGAAGGAGTCTGGGTGTAAGGAGGAAGGGATCAGGATGTGAAGGTCTTAGAGTATCGATATGGTTGACGGTAAAGGTAGACAGAAGGACAGGTGGACATTTAGACAGGAAATATAATGACAGTAATGAGAGTCAGTACGGTCGAGTGTGGTGAGAGAGAGAGAGAGAGAGAGAGAGAGAGAGAGAGAGAGAGGAATGACGGTATGACAGCGAGGGGAATGTTGAATGTAGAGAATGATGGATGGAATTCTTAGTTGATATGAGGAAGAGGATTTTGAGGGTGAGAATAAAAATGCGGATGAAGAGGGGAAGTGGAAATGGAGAGAGAGAGCGCTTGGTGTCTTCCTTATAGTAGAATTGATATAAGGATTTAATTTCCCACATCAAGGTAATTACCTCTCTCTCTCTCTCTCTCTCTCTCCTATGAACACTCATGGTGTGGCCGGGTAATGAGCTCAGGTAATGACTGTCACAAGGTCAACGCACTCACCTAAGTCCGTCACTCAACCTCACTTAAGTCCGTCACTCAACTCTCACTTAAGTCCGTCACTCAACACTCAATTAAGTCCGTCACTCAACACTTACTTAAGTCCGTCACTCAAAACTTCCTCAAGTCCGTCACTCAACACTCACTTAAGCCCGTCACTTAACACCCAATTGCCGTCACTCAACACTCACTTAAGTCCGTCACTTAACACTCAATTGCCGTCACTCAACACTCACTTAAGTCCGTCACTCAACAGTCACTCATTTGCCGTTACTCAACAGTCAAGTCCGTCGCTCAACAGTCACTCAATTGCTGTCACTCAATATAAACTTTGCCGGTCTAACTTTTGACAATTTGATTGACAGTGAAGTTAACCAAGGCAGATTACAAAGCCTTAAACAACAGTGAAATTTAGCCAGAGTTAACGGTGAACACTGTACAGAGGTTTACTTTGTGTTGTAGAGGTTTACTTGTGTTGTAGAGGTTTGCTTTGTGTTGGAGAGGTTTACTTTGTGTTGGAGAGGTTTACTTTGTGTTGTAGAGGTTTACTTTGTGTTGGAGAGGTTTACTTTGTGTTGGAGAGGTTTACTTTGTGTTGTAGAGGTTTACTTTGTGTTGTAGAGGTTTACTTTGTGTTGTAGAGGTTTACTTTAGGTGTTGGAGAGGTTTACTTTGTGTTGTAGAGGTTTACTTTAGGTGTTGGAGAGGTTTACTTTGTGTTGTAGAGGTTTACTTTGTGTTGTAGAGGTTTACTTTGTGTTGTAGAGGTTTACTTTGTGTTGGAGAGGTTTACTTTGTGTTGGAGAGGTTTACTTTGTGTTGAAGGTTTACTTTGTGTTGGAGAGAGTTTACTTTGTGTTTGTGAGAGTTTTACTTTGTGTTGCTTGTAGAGAGTTTACTTTGTGTTTAGCAGAGGTTTACTTTGTGTTGGAGAGGTTTGCTTTGTGTTGTAGAGGTTTTACTTTTGTGTTGTGTAGAGGTTTACTTTTGTTGTTGTAGGGGTTTACTTGTGTTGGAGGTTTACTTTGTGTTGTAGAGGTTTACTTTGTGTTGGAGAGGTTTACTGTGTTGGAAGGTTTACTGTGTTGTAGAGAGTTTACTTTGTGTTGTAAGGTTTACTTGTGTTGGAGAGGTTTACTTTGTGATTTGGAGGGTTTACTTTGTGTTGGAGAGGTTTACTTTGTGTTGAAGGTTTACTTTGTGTTGGAGAGTTTACTTTGTGTTGTAGAGGTTTACTTTGTGTTGTAGAGAGTTTACTTTGTGTTGTAGGGTTTACTTTGTGTTGTAGAGGTTTTACTTTGTGTTGTAGAGAGTTTACTTTTGTGTTGGAAGGTTTACTTTGTGTTGGAGAGAGGTTTACTTTGTTGTAAGGTTTACTTTGTGTTGTAGAGGTTTACTTTGTGTTTGTAGGGTTTACTTGTGTTGTAGAGGTTTACTTTGTGTTGTAGAGGTTTACTTTGTGTTGTAGAGGTTTACTTTGTGTTGTAAAGTTTACTTTGTGTTGTAGAGTTTGTGTTGTAGGAAGTTTTTGTGTTGTAAGTTTACTTTGTGTTGTGAGGTTTACTTTGTGTTGTGAGGTTTACTTGTGTTGTGGGGTTTACTTTGTGTTGTAGGGGTTTACTTTGTGTTGTAGAGGTTTACTTTGTGTTGTAGGGTTTACTTTGTGTTGTAGAGGTTTACTTGTGTTGGAGAGGTTTACTTTGTGTTGGAAGGGTTTACTGTGTTTGGGGGTTTACTTTGTGTTGTGAGGTTTACTTTGTGTTGTAGAAAGTTTACTTGTGTTGTAGAGGTTTACTTTGTGTTGTAGAGGTTTACTTTGTGTTGTAGAGGTTTACTTTGTGTTGTAGAGGTTTACTTTGTGTTGTAGAGGTTTATTTTGTGTTGGAGAGGTTTACTTTGTTTACTTTGTGTTGTAGAGGTTTATTTTGTGTTGGAGAGGTTTACTTTGTGTTGTAGAGGTTTACTCTGTGTTGTAGAGGTTTACTTTGTGTTGTAGAGGTTTACTTTGTGTTGTAGAGGTTTACTTTGTGTTGTAGAGGTTTACTTTGTGTTGGAGAGGTTTACTTTGTGTTGGAGAGGTTTACTTTGTGTTGTAGTGGTTTACTTTAGGTGTTGTAGAGGTTTACTTTGTGTTGTAGAGGTTTACTTTGTGTTGTAGAGGTTTACTTTAGGTGTTGTAGAGGTTTATAATGTTACCAGTATACTACAGTTATTATACCAATGGATATATACCACTTGAACTATATAATCTGCATACTAATTGGACTATACACTTACTTCTATACACTTACTGCTATACACACTTACTTACTACAAACATACAACTAATACACACACTAATTTTATGTTGATATACACTTATTAATACAAAATAACTATACTGCAAGACGATACGTTTAACTGACATGCACTCACCACTATACAAGAACTGTATACACTGTACTGATTTCTATAGTGTGTATATATTGTGTGTATAGTGTGTATATTGAGTGTGTATGTATGTATTTCCGTCAAATATTTGTATTGCGGAGTGGAGTGACAAGTGTGTGTTTTCTCTTTTCAGCCGCGGTGGGGGAGACTGCATCGGAGGCTGGAGGTGGAGGTGGAGGAGGCGCAATTGAAGGCCCTGGAGGCGGAGGCGGCGGCGGAGGAGGAGGAGGAGGAGGAGGAGGAGGTAATGGTGGAGGTGGTAATGGTACCAGCGGCGGAGGAGGAGGAGGAGGAGACGGTGGAGGTGGTGGAGGAGGTGGTGGTGGTAGAGGAGGTGGAAGAGGAGGTGGAAGAGGAGGAGGAGGAGTAGGAAGAATGCCCACCTATAAATCGCGGGTAAAAGGAGCAAGTCAAGTACAGTTCAGCCTTAACCTGATCCGCGCCGCTCAGAGAGAGTTGCAGTTCCTCTACTTCGTCAACAGACACCCGGCGCTCTACCAGGGACCTCTAGTGAAGAAGGCCATCCAGAGGTGAGTCTTGATGCCATATTACCATGATACCACCATACTACCATCATGTTACCATATCCTTGTTACCATAGGACCCTTGTCACCATACTACCATCATGTTACCATATTATCCTTGTTACCATAGGACCCTTGTCACCATACTACCATGATCTCACCATACTCCCGTCACCAGTCTTATCCATTATGCCATAAATCTATCTCACTATTATCTACTGAAATATTATTGATATTTAACAGTAAAACAACTACCATGGAGAGAGAGAGAGAGAGAGAGAGAGCAATTTATTTAGCACACGACCTCAGAGTCTTGGGATGGTTAGTGTACATAATTGGCTGAGTGATGGTGAAAGCAGCTTATACTAAAACCTGATCATCACCATCAAAGGCTTCTGTGCATGACTTCCTTCTCCTAGACATTCTTAACCGTATGTCTGGTCTGCTCTCTGTGCATGACTTCCTTCTTCTAGACATGCTTGGTCATATGTTTGTTACTCTGTGCATGGCTTCCTTCCTCTAGACATTTTTAAGTCATCTGTCTGCTGCTCTAAGACTCTTTGAGTGAGACGGGAAACGATGGAAGCACTTGTGTGTTTCTTCATTTAGGAAATCGTGGTTATGACATTTGTCGCTGTCACTGTGTGTGTGTGTGTGTGTGTGTGTGTGTGTGTGTGTGTGTGTGTGTGTGTGTGTGTGTGTGTAAACCTCTATACAAACACAATACACAACAAACAAAATCCATCGCACACACAGTGATAAGGGGGTGAGGAGGGAGGATAACAAGATCACTGAGGATCGAGCAACTTGTTTGTCGGGAAATGCAATTTTGGCTGATTAGTTAAGGCGACCTGAAGCTCCCCCCGCGCTACCGTATAAAACCGTCCAAGGCTTCGAAAATATTCAGAAGACGTTCCTTGTAAACACTGAGTCTGGTTCACGGTGTTTAAGGACTTCAGAATTATCATGATACTGTATTTCAAGGGCAAGTTAAAGGTGCTTCAGAAAACCAAGTATACATAATACACTAACTGGCTACAGTAAGTATACATAGAAGTACTAATTTGGTACACTATACATAAAAACACTAACTGACCACCAAGTATACATAACCACTAATTAATTCCGCCGAGTATACATAATATCACTAATTAGTAGCACCAAGCATACCTGTCTATAAACACCTGAAGATCACACACACACAAATCTGAGCACGGCTTCTGGGGTAACTTAAGTGGGTCGATTCTGAGGTCTTCTGAAACAAACTATCGATTAGAGTTCGTCCCAACAGCCTCATTGTCTTTAATTACATTGTCCAGAATGGTGGTGTAGGGGGGGAGTGACAATAACATTAAAATATGTAATTGTTGAGATTTTCTTTCTCTCTTTGTTGGGAAATGAAAATTGTTTTGGTTCTCGACTGAAGGAATTTGGGATAGTGATTTTTTTTAATGTTTAGATGTGTTGATGTTTCTCTTCATACTAGCCTAACCTAACCTAACCTAACCTAACCTAACCTAACCTAACCTAACCTAACCTTACCTAATATAAGCCATAACCAAACGCCAACGTAACGTAACCTATCCTAACCCAACCCCCTAACCCAACCCCCTAACCCAACCCCCTAACCCAACCCTAGCAACCCGCAACTAGCAACCCCAGCAACCCTAACCTTCCCCCTAACCTTCCCCTAACCCAACCCCCTAACCCAACCAAACGTATGAAGGAAATGAAAGAAGCCATTTTAAGATTATTACGGATGGCGTCAACGTAGAAATTGGAAAATTAAATTCTTGAAACGTCTGTGGGAAAATCTTTGGTGTAAGTGATAGAAATATGATAGAATTTTGTGTGTAGTTAAAAGTGTGAGAATGAAGTAATTTTCTTTCTTCACAAACGGAGAGATTGAAGTGAATTTCTTTTTTAACAAATTGATTAATGAAACTCTCTCTCTCTCTCTCTCTCTCTCTCTCTCTCTCTCTCTCTCACATACAAAGATAATTAATAACAAATAGTCATGGACACAACCCACGTAAAATATAAATCCAGGTTATCTTCTTATTTTATGCAACAAGATATTTACCGTCCTATTGTTTCTCAGCTGGTTCAATAACAACAATAACAGGTCGTTGTAACGCCAAGTAAAATTGAGATATTGCAAAGAAACGATTAAAGGCAGTTGACCTAGGCAGCAGCTGCAATATTGTTTTGGTTGTGGGAACTGACCTCAAGAGTTGGTGTGTTGCAGGACCACGAATATAAACCCTCCCCCAGGCGACCTTCCTCCTCCCACAGGCGACCTTCCTCCTCCCACAGGCGACCTTCCTCCTCCCACAGGCGTCCTTCTTCCTCCTCCAAGCGTCCTTCCTCCTCCCACAGGCGACCTTCCTCCTCCCACAGGCGACCTTCCTCCTCCCACAGGCGACCTTCCTCCTCCCACAGGCGACCTTCCTCTTCCTACAGGCGTCCTTCTTCCTCCTCCAAGCGTCCTTCCTCCCCCTCCAGGCGACCTTCCTCCTCCCACAGGCGACCTTCCTCCCCCAGGCGTCCTTCCTACCCCAGGTGACCTTCCCCCAGGCCACCTAGGAGACGTCACCTTTAAAGCCTCCGTCCCGTCCCTGAGCAAATAACATTAAGGTATCTCCTCTTTAAACTCGGCCGTGAAGGTAACCAAATCTGTGCATGGTAGAGCCTTCTTCCTCTTCTTCCTCTTCTTCTGTCCTCTTCTTCCTCTTCTTCTTCATCCTCTTCCTCCTCTTTTTTTCTCACTCCCTCCTCTCATTCCTCTACACTCCTCTTCTCACCTCTTCCTCCTTCTCTCATTACCCTTCTTACTCCTTCCTCTTCCTTTTCCTCCTCACTCCCTCTTCTTATCCCCTTCCTCTTTTCCTTCATTCTACTTCTTACTCCTCCCTCTTCTCCCTTCTTTCTCCTCCTTCTTCATCTTCGGCTTCTTCTTCTCCTTCCTTCCTCTTTTACTCTCTCTCCTCCCTCTTTCGCATTCATCCCTCTTCTTCCCTCTCACTCCCTTTTTAATCTCCCTCCCTCCCTCCCTCTTCTATCCCCTTCCCTCTTCTTCACCCCCTCCTTTCCCATCCCTCTCTCAACCCCCTCTTTCCCCTCTTCTTTCCTCCTCTCTCTTCCATCCTCACTTTCTCCCTCTTTCACCCTACCCCTCTCCTTCTTTCATCACCCCCCCTCTTATCCTCCTTCCTCTTTCTCCCCTCTTTACCTCCACTCCCCACCTCTCGTCCTTCTCTCCCCCCCCACCCCTCACCACTCCTGCACAGTATTTCGCTGGCCTGAAAATGAGGGGAAAATGTGAATAAAATGAAGGGAAATATTCGGGAAAGAGAGAGGAGAAGTTTTCGGGAAATACAGGAATATGTCGGGAATAAAGGGATAAAGTCGGGTATAAAATAGTAAGTCGGGGAAAAAAGAAAACCAAGAGAAAATTGGAAAAAACGAGTGGACTCCAGGAAAAAGTAAGAGAAATTGGGGGAAAATAGGAAAACTCAGGGAAAAATAGGAAAGGTCAGGTAGATTTATGATGTTAGGTTGATAAATAGTCGTAGTAGATAGTAATAGTGTTTGTATTATTATCATTATCACCATCATCATCATCGTCATCATTATTCACAGGGTCAAAAGGTCATGACCTCAACTATTATCATCCACAGGTTCAGATCTTCAACGACTCGCAGGATAATTTTCTCCTTAAGTGACCATAATAGAACGCATCTCAGTATTCTTAATGCACTTTTGACGCCATTATGATTACCATATTTGAGCCATTGTTAAGTGAGCCAATTACAGGCGTTCCCGCATCTCCAGTTAGGAAGGAAATTTGATCTTTGAAACGTGTGAGGAGTCAGCCATTTATCTTCTTAATGATCTAAAGTGTGGATATTAAGGTAAAAGATCAGCTGAAGATTAGACACCCCAGCTTATTTAACCTGAAGATTAAACCACTGATCAATAAATAGGAAGCTTTGGTTTAGGTTAGGTTAGGTTAGGTTAGGTTAGGTTAGGTTAGGTTAACTTCTACATAACTACAAATATATTTTCAACTCAACCTGTATATAATAACCATAACACATTAATATACAACACAGGTAATCTTGGTATCCTGAACAGTGGTTAGGTGGCGTCAAAAAGCCTATCATCTAAACCCTAAGTTAATACCTACAGTCAATAACGACCCTTAGCAATAACAAGGTATTAAATAAACTACCATAAGGATTGTGGAGGATTATTAAGCCGCTAACCAAATAGATCCTTAATTTAAATTACTAATTGGAACAAGTTAATTACAAACGGTCTAGTTATCTACGTGTATATATATATTTAGGTATTGCCGGTTTGGTTAGGTTAGATTAAGCTAGCGTTAGGTTAGGTTAGGTTAGGTTAGTCTATCATTGGGTTAAGTTAGGTTAGGTTAGGTTAGGTTAGGTTAGGTTAGGTTAGGTTAGATTAAGCTAGCGTGAGGGTGCCTAATCTTCATCACACAGTCCACAAAGCTATAAGGTATGATATTCACCTACACAATAATTATCTCACAAGGATTATACTAATTAGTGCTAATTAGTGTTGGAAGGAGACTTAGTAATGTTTTAAGACAGATGACGAGATAGATTGCTAATTATGCGGTATATTCGTGTTATATTAATGTACAGTCACTCAAAGAACTATCTGTACTTGGGGTGATCGATGAATTACAGAATGAACACTGTGACTCCTGTTGTCTCGGTAGGGTTGTCAAAATCCTTCGTCCATTGTGTCATATTTTTTCAACACGATTTTTTATAGATAATTTTTTTTTTTGAGTGACTGTATTGTTTAAGTGTGTACTCGTATATTGACAACATAGACTCGTTGATGAACTCAGGTGGCTTTGAGTACAATAACCCACATTGTTATGGGACTCAAGGAGCTGTGAGTACAATAACCCACACTGTTATGGGACTCAAGAATAGAGACAGGAACCCCACTGAATATTAATGAAG